GGTGGTGCTTGCGTGACAAGATATTCCCGAGTGGGTGGATCAGATCATTAATAGACCTGTATCCAAGTTAACACTCAGCTCAGATGAAATACTTGAGCTAAATCAAGACGAGGAGAATCCTCTAATCAATATTGATCACTATACAGGATCAACAACTGAAGATCAACCTTCATTTTCTAACCTCTCATCTAAGACAGCTTCATGTGATGATTTGTTTACAGAGTCTGATCAAATTTCAGACCACTCTTCTCAATGTTCCATGGATTCTATAAGTTCGATACATAATACTACTGAATTAACTAGCTTATCACCAGAACCCAGAGAAACAAGTGAAGCTGCAGATGAAACAAGTGAAGCTGCAATGATCAGTGAATCTGAACCAGAAAATGATAAAGCTAATGCTGCAGCTGCAGTCGAAGCTGTAATCAAAACTGAGGCTAAGCAAGAAGCCTTAAACAACACAAGTAATTGTCACAATTGCTCACAACAGCCTTCTAAAGTAAGTGCTAACAATGAGAAGACTATTATAAACCTTGTGCACCAATTATTAAATTTATCTTCACCAGAGCAATCAGTTGACTCTTTACAAGCTTTTAGTTTTCAGCTTGAGTCACTGATAAATTCTTTCAGTAAAGAGGTGGATCACCCAACTACTGAGTGGATGACTAAAATTATCATCCAGAGAAAATTGTCTGGTGACACACTTAATAAACTATGTGTATGCCAGAATGGTAATACCCTGTCAATGCAGGATATATTTACAGGTTTGCGTAATATGAGCAATCATACAGCAGACCAAGCAATTAATGCTAAATCTGAATGCACCAAAACTGTACCTACATCAGTTTCCTTGCCTGAAACTCCTAAAGTGACACTGTCACTAGGTAACCAAGGTGCTAATACTCAATGTAACAACAATCAGTCAAATACTGATTCATCAGTGAGGCCTAAGAGTCCCACAGGTGCTCCTAAGAGACCTAATAGTCCAAAGAGCACTGCAAATAATCCATGTAACCAGAATCAGTCAAACACTGATTCATCAGTGAGGCCTAAGAGTCCCACAAGTGCTCCTAAGAGACCTAATAGTCCAAAGAGCACTCCCAAGAGCCTGTTAATGGTTCCCCAGAGTACACCAAGTACTCACAAGAGAATAAATAACAAGCAAATGCAAGCATCAAAACCATCACCACCTGCAAATACTGTTTTACCTAAACTGGTAACCCCTAAACGATCTGTAGGATGGGGAATATGCTTGTTTTGCAATCAAAAACATTCTCTGTACAAATGTACTAATTATCCTAATAGAGACACAAGAGTCAGACGACTCAAACAGTTACACAAATGTACTAGATGTCTCAAACCACATAATGTTAACAGCTGTGACACCCCACTGAACACCTGCAACAGGTGTAGAAGGGGCAAGCATCATGCTGCACTGTGCAAATTAGTTAGGACTAATTATGTCAATCCTAGAATAGGACGTAGAGAATCTACACCAGTACAGTGCTGCAAGGTGCGAGATGTGTACAGCGTAACTTCACAAGCATCTCAAGTGGATGCTGCTTTGCCTACTGCCCAACTTCAAGTGAAGAACAGAGGAGCCAAGATCACCATACGTGGACTATTTGATCAAGGTTCCCAGAGAACTTTCATTACTCAAAGGGCAGCAGAGGCACTTAATTTACAACCAATAGGACAGGTAAAATTAAACTTGTCAGGGTTCATGATAAATCGAGGAACCCATGAATACTCAGTAGTTCAACCGCTTGTACGACTAGGTAGTCAAGCAAAGGCTGTCCAAGCCATTGTTGTAGATCAAATACCTTTAGACTTAAATATTAAAGGTTTGGGGTACACAGCCCACTTCCTGCAGGAACGTGAAATTAATTTGGCTGACAACAAGTTAATGTCTGACCGCCTTAACAATGTAGATGTACTAGTAGGAGCCGACTACTATTACCAGTTCATAACTGGACATGTTAAACGATTGGGAATGAATATGCTCCAATCTGCAGGAGGCTACTTACTTACTGGTAAAGTTCTGAATGTGAACAAGCCTAAACCTGCCAATAATAAATTAGTCAGCAGTAAATCAATTCTCCAGCAACAAGCTAAAAGGAGAAACACAGCTGAGTAATAAACTCAGATTGAGTGTAGTGCAATTGATACTCGCCGAGATGTTTCATAGCTCTCAGTGATAACCAATGGTCCGTACTCAAACAAGTACAAGTCACAGCGACCAAGCCATTGAATTCACTGCAGACCTAGAATTATTCTCGACAAGTAGTAATTGACCACACTCAGTCTTCCTAGTTAAATTCTAATGTTAGGCTAGAGAATCTAGTACTCCCTAGAAATTAATAATGTTAGGCTAGAGAATCTAGCACTCAATGCCACTGGCATTTCCTGAATTTAGTGATAACATTCACTAGGACCACTGGTCCACTATACTTGCGCTTAAAGGTTTGCCAAGAAAACCTTCTTAATACCAAGTTTTCTGATTTAAGAGTTAGTGATAAATACTTGCATTAATTGTTTGAGCTGTTTTCTTTCGTTTCTGCTTATTTAGTGTAGGAGCGCAACACGAACAAACTTGCAAACTTACTAACATGTAAGTGAATTTCCAGAGAACTAATATGTTTAATGCATTACCGTTAAACATTAGCATTGTTAATTAACATGCTTCATGAGCTTAACATAGCTCACCTTAGAATTAACGTAATAATATGAGTACTCGTTCACCATACGCACGAGCTTAATATTGCTCGCCATGATAACTGAATGACAAAACTCCACCTCGTTAATTCGAGTTCACTGAACTCAACCTGTTAACTGTTAACGAGCTCCATGCAGCTCACCCTGTTAGCACCAGCTACCCTGTCAACACTGTTGACGAGTTCCATGTAACTCACCCTGTTAACTTAATGCCACCCTCACCCCGAGCTCACACCTCACTCAAATGTAGATATAAAGCTCCATGCAGCTCACCCTGTTAGCACTCGGAGATCACCCTGTCGTAAGTTGTAGCTACCATGTCAGTTGTGTATTTGTCACCCCAACCTCACTCAAATGTCTTTGAAAATGTAATAAGTTTTACGAAACGCGCTGGTGTCGCGTCAGACTAGAAATAAAAATGAATTTTGGAGAATTGATTTTTGATTTACCTCCAACAGTGAAAAGAAATGTACGAAAGATTGAGAAAATTCGTGTTAGAATTATTAATCTTACTTTTTCGGTCATATTTAATAATATATGTCTACAGGAAAGACTGCTACCAAAATATACTAATATATATATATATATATATATATATATATATATATATATATATATATATATATATATATATATATATATATATATATATATATATATATATATATATATATATGTCGTACCTAGTAGCCAGAACGCACTTCTCAGCCTATTATGCAAGGCCCGATTTGCCTAATAAGCCAAGTTTTCATGAATTAATGTTTTTTCGACTACCTAACCTACCTAACCTAACCTAACCTAACTTTTTCGGCTACCAAACCCAACCTAACCTATAAAGATAGGTTAGGTTAGGTAGGGTTGGTTAGTTTCGGTCATATATCTACATTAATTTTAACTCCAATATAATAAAATTGACCTCATACATAATGAAATGGGTAGCTTTATCATTTTATAAGAAAAAAATTAGGGAAAATATATTAATTCAGGAAAACTTGGCTTATTAGGCAAATCGGGCCTTGCATAGTAGGCTGAGAAGTGTGTTCTGGCTACTAGGTACGACATATATATATATATATATATATATATATATATATATATATATATATATATATATATATATATATATATATATATATATATATATATCACACACTTGCATTAAAGTGCAAAGAATTTCAACAAACAGAACCCTTATGAGAGAATCGAAACCTGGGCCACCCAGGTGGCTGGCCAGAGCACTAACCAATAGGCCATGCCTCAGATCGTTAAAAAGGACTGAAACTCGAGCGGCTTTTCCACAAAATCTCAGTCCCCAACGAAACCAAAAGGATGCCTACAGATCAGACACTCATTTTCTATAAATCATATTTATTAGGAAAAACTCGTGCCTTGAATATACCACACACTTGCATGATCGCGCAAGGAATTTTAACAAACAGAACACTTCCCCTAGCCAGGTGGCTTGCCAGAGCATTAACCAATAGGTCACATTTCAAATCGTTAAATAGACTTCGTTGGGACTGATAAAAAATATCAGTCCCAACGATACCAGAGAGATGGCTACAGATTAGACACTAATTTTCTGTCAATCATATATACTAGAGAAAACTCGTATCATGAATATACCACACACTTTCATGAACACATAAGGAATTTTAACAAACAGAACACTTCCCCTATGAGAGAATCGAAACCTGGGCCAACCAGGTGGAAGAGCACTAACCTCAGTTCTGAGGTAACCTCCTTCTGAGTTCTCGCCTCAGATTGTTAAATGGACTGAAACTCGGGCGGCTTTTCCACGAAATTTCAGTCCCCAACGACACCAGAGGGATATCTACTGATCAGACATTCATTTTCTATCAATCATACTTACGAATCTGAGGTGTATAAAGCAGCCATGTCTTTCCCAACAGGTTCAGCAAGGGAGCTTCACAGGCCTAAGACCCCAGTACATCAAACAAATGCTGAACCCCGTGCTTGGAGATGCTGCAAAGGACCTTCTAATGGAACTTACCAGATTCTCCGACATGTGTTTGGCTGGCGGTATCCAGTCCCATTACCTGAGCAGAACTCCTAGGACATGCCCCCACTTTTATATATGAGTAATACTCCTGGTAAGACAATCTCACTTTTATGTGACGTTGATGTGAAAGAATAGAGCAGTGGCTATTCTGGCTAGTGTTAAGCCAATCACATAAAATAAAAAAAAGTAAAATAAAGTAAATAAGACTGCTACTGACCTCTTTTCGGTGTGAGAGCTGCGGGATCAAATCCAAATGAATTAAAATCTTTAAATATTTAATATATCAAAAATGACTTTAACAACAATTAAAATAATTCCCATATTCTACTTGGTGATACACAATACAAATGAAATATGAACATGTGACAGTTGCGTTAATGACAAAGAAAGGTGTAAATTATTACAATATACAAAATGCTGTACACATCTACTGTTTCCTGGGAAGGCTACAGTACATGTTACTGTATAAGAGCTTTGTGCTTGAGAGCACGAGGCGAATTCCGAAGTGAGCTACTTAGATAGGCGGGCCAGGCTTAGTGTAGAGGGCGCTGATGTGCAGGTAACTATCGCCGGCAGTCTCAAACAAGCAGTAAAGGGCTGGTCGATCAGCTAGTGGCGTTAGGCCCCCGACAGCTGCTGTCCAAGTGTCTTGAGTACAAAAAGCTGTACGCATCTACTGTGTCCTGGGAAGGCTACAGTACATGTTACTGTATAAGCGCTTACAAGCTCTTTGTGCTTGAGAGCACGAAGCGTATTCTGAAGACTGGCTGGTGGTGAGCCGCTTACATTGGGGGACCAAGACTTAGTGTACATGGCGCTGATGTGCCATCTACACTAAGCGCTGATGTGCCACACTACACTAAGCCAACTATCGCCTTCAGTCTCAATAAAGCAGTAGAGGGCTAGTCGAAAGGTGAGTTACGCTAGGCCCCAGACAGGTAGTTCTTATACAGTAACAGTAGATGTGTATAGTCTTGAGTACATGAGGATGGAGGGGGGGGGGGTGTCTTGTCTAGACACAGACTTCTGAGTACGTATTGTTGTTGTTGTTGATGTTGATTTCTTATACTGGAGTATGCAGATATGTTGTTGAATAGGCAGGATCTCCTTGCCAAAGCAGGTGTTAACCGTAACAGCTCTCTCAGAAGCATGTTCCTATCGCCTCTGATGCTGCTGTGGAGTGGAGAGTTGAAGTGGGAGATTTCATCTCGCAGACTCGGGAGAGAGCGTTGGCGACGACGTTTTCCGAGCCTATGACGAAGATGTTGAGATTGTAGTTCTGCAGGTACAAGGCCCTGTGAAGCAGGTGCTAATTGGAGAATTGGGTCTCCTGCAGGAACTGAAGAGGATGTTGATTGTAGAAGATGTTAATTTAGTGCTATAGGGCTCAGTGAAGTACAAATCGGTTGGAGAACTGAGCCTGGTTAATGGATCAAAGGGAATAGTGATGCGAGAAGATGTTGAGGAGATGGTTTGTCAGATGCAAGGCCTAGCGAAACAAGTGTTGGTTGGAGAACTGGGTCTGCTATAGGAACCGAAGGAGATTGTGATAGGAGGTGTTGTTGATGTGGTGCTGCAGGACCCAGCGAAGTACGAGTCTGTTGAAGAACTGGGTCGGCTGCATGGACCGAAGAATATTGAGGTCCGAGGAGATTTTGATGTGGTGCTGCAGGACCCAGCGAAGTACTAGTCTGTTTGAGAACTGGGCCTGCTGCATAGACCGAAGAATATTGAGGTCCGAGGAGATGTTGATGTGATTGTAACCTTGTAGATTTGATGGATCGTTGTGTTGCACGCTGGTTAGGATGTTGAGTGGCTCCTTTATGACGGAAGTAGCTGCAGTGCACGATCCCATCTCGCTATAGGGTCAGGGTATTCCTATCGCCAGTGTTGCTGTTGTTAACATGGAAGACGAAAGGTTTCCTAACACCTGGTGAGGCGAGAATGGAATTATTACAAGATAAGGGTTTACGCCTTTCATATGAAATGGAATGTAAGTTTGTCCTACAATATTTTAGCTGAGGGCTGGTAAAGTTATCAAGAGGTGCACGTTTATTTGGAATTGTTTCGTAGATAGGAGGATCTTTCCTGGTGTTAGAACAGATCAGGGATTTAGAACCATTGCATTCAGGAGAAGTACAACAAGAAGGGCTAGACAGTACCTGGGAGATGTTGATAGTTTTACACAGGTCGTTGGAGAGAATGGTGTCACCCTGCTCTCACTAGCCTGGGGATGTCCGCACTGCGGGCACTGTTTCACGAGGTGGTTCACAACGTTAACAGCCGTACAGTTCTTGACGGAAACTGCTGTAGGAAACCTGGTGGTAGAACACAAGATATTACTGATAGCTATGTTACCTGAGCTTGTCTTAGTGGCTCGACATTGTTGTTGATGAGATGGCTGAAAGGCTCAGAAGGCACTGGTACCTGAATCAGTGGTGCCTTGGGTATAAGAGCGTTCGGCTTACCTGTTCTTTGACACGTGTTGCAGGTATTTACAAAGGTCTTGATGTCACGGATTATACCTGGCCAGTAGTAGTCTTGTTTTAGGCGTTGTAGGTCTTGTTGAAGCCGTAGCGTGAGAGAGGGCCGTGGGCCAGACGTACAATATCTGGCCGTAGGCTGGTAGGAACTACCAGTTAGTTGACGTTAGCCAAATCTTCATCCTCATTCAATTTACTGAGTGTATAACGGCGGTAGATTACATGGTTGTCCACAAAAAAACTAGGGATAGAATCTGATTGTGTCTCGGCCTGAAAGAATAAAGATGTTAGGGATTGATCTTCTCTCTGCAGCTCATGGAACTCCAACAGGTTGAGATTCAGTGGGAGGGCCCTGAGAATCTTGAGGAACCGCTGGAGCGGCTGGTTGCGATTGAGTAGCTTGGCACGCGTCGTCACCATGACAGACTGGGAGATGTCCGCAGAATCGTCGGTCGATTTGACCTCCTCTGCAACATATTCCTTAACAGGATCTTCTACGGATGAGTCATATATCTGGGGTTTGTCTCTGATGATGAGGTTCGTGGGTTGTTGATCTTCTCCCAAGCCGTTGCCCAGGAGAAGTTGAACTCCTGGCATGGGGAAGGTTTTACCCGGATGGCGACTTGGACTTCGCCATGAACGATTAAGCAATCCAGGTGTTCTGGCATGGGTGAGGGTTTCCCCCATGTATAATGAGGCATCTCCGGCTGCCTCTCCAATGGAGAAAGTGCGTCCCCCTCGTCGCATTCCGGAGGCGTTGCGTCTGGCTCCGCTGGTACTGGAGCAGAAGTGAAGAAGGAAAGCTGCCTGTTTTGATGTTGTTATTCTGATGCTCTAATGTTGCCTGGTTGTGATTCACTGATTGTAAGGATGCGGTGGAAGAGTAGGAAGCGATGGCTGTGATTTGCGGTTGGTGTTGAAGTGGGGTCTGTCGCCCCTTCTCTAGGGAATTTCCTTTCTTCAACTCCCCCCCCCCCCCACTTGCAGTTCAGAGTTCTGTGAGTGTTTTCAGGGATGGTGGTCCGGTACTGTTGGGACTTCCAGGACAATGTTGCGGTACTGTCGGGGCTACCACCGCATGTTGGTTACGGTTTACTTGCTTGTGTGCTGGAGCTGTGCCTCTGCTTGAGCTAGAGTGTGCTCTCTCCGTTTGTTGCTTGCTTTGTTTGTCTTGAGAGTTGGTAGTGTGTGGTTTATTGTTATATTCCGTATGAGTGCGTTTTATTGCAAGAGTCGGAAGTGATCCCCCCCTTCATGCTTGCTTCGTGAAAGCTGTGTATGCATGTGTGCATGGTGCAGCTCTGATTTTGGAATGTGCTCATTCCGCTCTTGTGTGTGCCTCTATCTTCTGACCGTGGTCAGTTGTATTATTTTTTTTATCTTTGTTATGCTGTTTTTTTTTTTACTCTTTCACTTGTTGGGACTTATGTGTTATAGTTTCCTCTGTATTTTCTTGGTTTGGTGAAGGTGCCGGCCTCCGTTTGTTGAGGGCCTATGTGTATGTTTTCTTTTCTTTTATGTATTGTGTATTTTCGTGTCGTGTAGTCCTGGTTCTATCTTTGCAGTGCGTTAACAGTGTTTCCATAGTGTAGCTCAGTTCCCCTTTATGCTTGCATTTGCCTGGTGCACTGGTACTTGTATTTCATTGGTATTTTTTGGTATATATGTACTGATTTAGAGTATTTGTTTTTTGTATTGGAATGATGCTCTGTTGCTGGTGATATATCCTGTGGTGTTTGACGTTTTAATGGTGATTCGGTACCTTGCATTTTAGTTGTATTTATATGCCATTTTATAATAAGGAAAAAACTAAAAAAATTGGATGGTGGTAGTGGGTGCAGTCCACTTCTGCTAGGCTTACGGTTTGTTCCCCAATACACCCATGTTTCGTAGAAGGTAGTAACTGTATCAACGAGGACTCTGGAGAAGGCCTCAACATTCGTTATTGTGTAATCATGATAGCATTTTGAAATACAATTAATTAAGTGGTTATGAAAACCATGTGGAATAATAATTTGCATCTCTGATATCTATTAGGTACATCACACTGTACTTTATTAGGAAGCAATAATTGCATAGTGATCGGCAACCAAGTGATTTACCAATGAGCATTCCATATTATCCTGCACAAGGATTCTACCCATTACGTAATCAAGTCTGCCTCCCAATAAATGCGTTTGGGTATCCGTAGTATACACAGTTAATCTGTTGTCATAAAATATTTTTAAAATTTTCATCCATTATCATTGTTAGTACTGTCTCCCAACATAATGTGTCTAGCATTAAGATCTCCCATGTATATTGTCCCATAATTGTCTAGATTTGGGAGCAATGTTACATTGAGTTTCTGATTTCTGATATATACGTTGAGGAATGAGAAGTGGCCTGCTTCAGTTTGTACAAGGAAGTGATGGTACTGTGTATGTACATTGTGTGACGTGCTCACAAGAGCATGCGGTAAATCACTTCTGATGTATGTTAATAGGCCTGTGGCGTTACTGTTCGTATACGATACATACTCTCTGGTCTTTGGTAGGGTTTTCTTTATCATGTTGGACGTGTAGGGCTCCTGTATAGCTATTATAGCAATTTTGATGCTGGTAAAATGTGCAATTAGGTCATTCAGTCTTCTGGTGATGCTACAAATGTTCCAAATGAGAAACCTAATGTTCCTTGTGTCAGCAGCACCCATTGTGGCGCTGTGATAGTGACACCTATTTCTGTGTCACTATCACTGCTGTCATCACTGAGATGACTGACGACGACGTCGCCGCCGCTTCCTCTGCCGCCACTGCTGTGACACAGCTTTGTGAAGGCAGTTGTATCTCTTGTGAAGATGCCCGACATAGCGTCTGTATGGGTTTTGCCATTTCTGCTACCTGTGCTTGCAAGGCTGCCAACTTTCCTTCAAGTGTTGTCTCAGCCTGTTGTGTGTTGTTAGGGGTGGTTGCTGGCACTGTTACCACTATGGGATGGGTCACCAGTACTAGAGCTGGCTCCCATGGCTCATTAACAGTGAGTGAGTGAGTGAGCCATTAACTTGGCTCACTCATTAACATGGCTCACCCATTAACAGTGAGCCATGGGAGCCATTAATAGTGAGTGTGTGAGTGAGTGAGCCATTAACAGTGAGTTAGTTGTATGCGCTTGAAAAGATTCAATGCGCATACAACTATTGTATGCGCTTTTTGAGTCGTAGTCAATTGCCTCCTTGTGCCAAGGGAGGGTGGTCGTTTGGTACAGTCTGGTTGCTAAATGATTTCTCTTTCCTTACCACATTTGATACACATCAGCAGCGGTTTAGAAGGAGGCACAGTTTCAGGTTGTTTTCCTGCTTCTGTTACCATGCGCTGGTGTTCCTGGTTCAGCTTTCTTTGGTCTCTTGTCTTTTTTATTGACAGCCCTCAGTGCATGAGTACCGGAACAGCTGTTATGCACTTGGGTGTGTACCAGCAGTGCTTAGATATGTGCTCATTACCAAGGCATCCATAACACTCCACAGGGTCTTGCTGCCACATCCTGCACCTGCGTGGTGGCGCTTACCACCCGCCAAACAATACTGGTCAGGTGGGGGTTCAGACTTGTTCCAGACTATGATTATATTATTGGAAGGTTTACCAGTCTTATACATTCTCCTTGCTCTGTGTACTCTTAATTCATATAAAATTCTAGTGGATACTCTTGATGGTAACTGTAGACTACGTATTCATTCACTTTCTTGTTTTGTGATTGATTATCTTGAAGGGAGAGCTTTACATAACCTATTATCCCTTGCAGAAGATCATCCACAACATGATGATCCTTTCTTAAAAGTACACTGGGGAATTGACATGTCGAAGTACTAGGGAAAGTACATTAGGGAAGGCCACTCGCTCTTTAGTGTTAGTGGAGCTCGTCCACTCTGTTGTTCACCAAGTTTTTCTTTCCGTTGTTTTCTTTTCTGGTTTCTAGTTAACACCATCATAAACACATCACTGTATGTTGGGATAAGAGTATCACTGGTCATGTTGGTGGAGAGCCCTGATCCCAGCAAATATTAAACGATTTCTGACGTTTTTTCTGTCTCACTAAGGTGACACTGTAACTATTTATATAAAGTCGTCTTTTTAACATATACAATTTATGTACGTTAATTTCAGTCAATCAAATGTGCGAATATGTGTATGTTTGTGTGTGTGAGAGTGTGTGTTGTGTGTGTGTGTGTGTGTGTGTGTGTGTGTGTGTGTGTGTGTGTGTGTGTGTGTGTGTGTGTGTGTGTGTGTGTGTGTGTGTGTGTGTGTGTGTGTGTGTGTGTGTGTGTGTGTAATTACCTAAGTGTAGTTACAGGATGAGAGCTACGCTCGTGGTGTCCCGTCTTCCCAGCACTCTTTGTCATTGTGAGATTTTTTTCTACGCCTACCTCCCTTAGGAGGTGGACTACAAGTTTAAAGGCTGCTCACGGCAGTTAAGCATGAGTCCAATAGAAAAAGGGAAAGCGGGAGCAAACCGCCAGGCTTTCACCACTAGGGGTGAAAACCTGTTCACAATAGGCCGCTGGTTCCTCCTAGTTAAACAGGACGTTAAAACTAATAAAGGGTAACCGACGGGTTCTCACAATCAAATATTTATATTTGATGTGGCGCTATGAATTGGAATTCGAATTCCCAAGAACAGCCGTCATATCAAGATCACATCAACATTCAATCGTATAAAGCAGAACATGGGTGGAAAAGAATGGCTGAAGGGTTGACATCAAAGACCGTTTTCTATAACATAACAATTTATTAATAACAAGAGACTAACTACTACATTACCAAGTTTACGTTACGTTAATGTACATCCAGTGGCACGATAACAAACAGCTAAATAGCAACCCTTGCTGTGCGGCTGCATACTGAACTAACCTGAACACAGGTGTGCCCACTGATGACGCAATATTGCAAATCAAAAAAATATCACAGACTAAGTTACACCACAGCGAGTGGTTACGTCATTGTCCATCCAGTCGCAATTGCAACACAGCTA